CGTGCCGCAGTTAAGAATGTCGCAAAACGTCTTTTTGCTCCATTTCACCCAAGCTATCCCGCTTTCACAGCATTTCTTTCTCCCGGGCAATATTGTTACCGCCAGCTATTGTTGGAGCTTTGACAAATTCCACCAGACTCCCAAATCCCAAAAGGAACTCCGAGCAGAAGCAGCTTTCGTTTTTTCTCGAAAATCTATGGGATTCTGGCCAGCTGGAAGTTTTTTACCGATGATAAATGAAAGTCGCGCTGTGACTGCCGCACACGAAAATATCTTCAGACGTTCACCACAATTCACCATTTCAATAGCTTGCCATCAATCTTCATCCAAATCGCCTTCAAGTGATAGATTGGTCATGTTTTTTTTTGCACCGCCAGTGCCTTGCTACCCTTTGGATGAACCCTTATCAACAATTATCTTTCAGAATTGGGTCAAATTCATAAAAGTCCTTGAATGTCATCGCGCGCTAGTAGTGGCGCCATGTTTGCCACCAGTAAGAACATCCCCTTCCCAAAGGTGGAAGACCTCATTGCCCGGAAATTCAACCAATCATCTCCAGTTGATGGCCTGCCGTTCTGCTATCGCGGACGTCTAACAATGCCTCAGGCCGCTTGACGTTTTTCCTTTTAGCGATCGAAGTCATAACTCTCTTGACGGGGGAATTCGGCGAAGGGCGATGGCGTATGATGTGAGCCTCCGGTTGCCCATAACGAATCGAAAGGGGCCAAGTTTTTGGAGAATACGGAAACCAACGCGAAACTGAAGTGTCAGGGGAATAGCGGTTGTGAGAAACGGGTTGCCAAATAGGAACATTCGACTTTGTTTTCGTCTCAACTACTATATATATGCTTTCGAGATTGTCGCTTTGGTTGTCAAAAGTTGACCTTATCTCATGGCAGTCATCTAGAATATTGCTCTGCCTGACACTCGACCCTGCACTTTTTCTTATGTTTTTTAGCACCACAATCGAAACATGAGGACATGGGGTAAATTAAACCGAGAAAAGGTTTGACAATCTGCAAGAGTGAGGAACATATCGGGAAAAGCCAAAAATACTTGGTAATATACTATGGGTCCGCGGCCAGGCGCATCTGCACTGCAGTCTTCACAACACAACTGACGGCGGGCTCCAAAAAACATAGTAGTTTTCTACGAACAATGGATGACCGAGGGCAGTTTTAAACTACTAGTTGCGCTAGTTGCAAATTTGACTTATATCAGTTATCGAACGGAATTAATAGTGACCAGATTTTTTTGGGGAGATCGTCGTTATATGTTTATAAAGTTCTGCAATGTAAAAAAAAAGGACGCACCTGACCGTCGGCCACAAAGGGTTCACTTCAAGAACAGGCTCTCTTCCTGGGCAGCCATTATCGATTGCTTCTTGCGAATATCTTAGATTTCTGAATAAAGTTTTATACCAACAATTCAAAAAACGGGGCGCCTCGGGTATTTCCAGTTAGGGGGCATCATGGTGCGGTGACTCCCAAAAAGCTACGGTAACTCTGAGCCAGGGGGAGTGTAGCCAGCCTAGGGGGTGGGGGTGAGGGCAGTCACTTGACATGCGTGAGAAGCTGGAATGTTCGAGTTTACATTAGCTCGCCGAGAAACTGCATCATGATGCCCCCCCCCTAACTGGAATAGACCCGAAAAAAGCTTTTTCAAAATTCCGATTACACTAATACAGAGCCAGTTTAATGGTGATCATCAGATTCGTTCGTGGGACATAGTCAATCTACTTCCATTGAGAATCGTAATGGTGTTTGAATGCGATTCTGCATAAACAATAAGTTCCAGTCATCACTCAATGTACAAGTCAGTGTTTTCAAGCCTTCCACGAAGGAGTTCATGACAATTTCGACCCGCCGAAGGCAAGAGAGCTTGGATACTAACAAGGGAGGTCGTTCAGGGTGTGCCAAGCTTTTTCAAAATGGTTTCTTGCATGACATTGGGGCACATATGGGGACCACAGAAGCATGGTTCATTTTTCCTGAACGGCTCTCTGAATACCAGAAAAGGGGTCCCTAGTTCGATTCCTCGTGGTGACAAGTTTTTGCATTTCGAGTTGACGTTTCCAAAATTCGCGCAAAATGGAGTTAGCATGAATAATTAGTACCATATTCATGATTAGGACCGTCAGTAACCCTTACAAATAGACTTTGATTGAAAAACTGGTGAAAAAGGTGTGACTAGGGACCCCCTTTTCTGGTATTCAGAGGGCCGTTCAGGAAAAATTAACCATGGTTCTGTGGTTCCCGCATGTGCTTTATATCATGACCGTTTCGAAAAAGCTCTAAGCACACTGCTGAGACCTTCCTCGTGAGCGGAATTCGATCAAGGATTTAACAGGTATCTTAAGCTAAGGAATTGAATGCCACCAAGCACATTTGCCCCTATCTTTTCATTTGTCAAGTCATTCAATTTACGACAGTCCAAAATCGACCAATAGGATCAACACTTACTTACCTACTATTATTCGAGGTGGAAAGAAAGTCCTGCGACACTTTTTTCAAATTTTTGTTTTTGTTTTTTTTATCTTTTTTGTTTACAACTCCTGACCGGTCTTGTATCTACCATGAGTGTCCTCCGCTTGTCTTCAACGCTCAAAAAATTTCTTGATGCTCCTTTGCCAAAACCCAGCGGAGTGTGGGTCGAGAAAGGAGGCGACCTTCACTTTCGAAAGTTGGAGGTTGATCGTCCTGATTAGGCATTCAAGATGAATGACTTAAGTCTACGTATGGTGGCAAGTCAATCAACTAGCTCTCGGAATACTTTAGGAGAAGTAAGAAATCTTGCCGCAGCTCCAGAATTTCTTACCGGGCTCATTTCGGATCATGGACGATTCGCAATGTCATGAAAGAAAGTGAATATTGTCGCGATACGAGGGCTCCTGACGAGCTGCCTCGGCCACTTCTGGGTTCCGCAGCATAGACCTCTACCTACACAATCGGGTGGGGGGGGTGGGGGTGCCCCATGAACTGATATAGCTTTGTAAATCGAGCTTTCGTAGGAGCCTTACTGTAAATCGAGTGATGAAGGACGCTGCTGCCTTCTTAATCAAAAGGTCGAAAGCGCTGGTAAAAGGTGAAACACGCTGTAGCGGTGAACGGCATGCCTATTGAAGCTATTGCAGATAGTGTCGGTCGTTGACACGAATCCATAGTTTGAGACATTTGTACTAGACAGTGACTCGGAGTACGGATTTACCTAGTGTCGAGATTTTTTGAATTTTCTTGGATAACTATTGACTGCAGCACTTATATCCACCACCTCGTGGATTGAAGCCTCGAGAAATGTTCTACCATTTGTTAGCCACAAATGTTTGCGGCTATTGTATTTTTCACACAAAGACAAGAAATTTAAGAGCAGAGTGTGCGCGGCACTTTCTTTCCAATGCTAAATACTTCCTACTTTCCCCAGCCGCTATTCGTCTACGGCACGTCAGAAATCCAGTCGCACTCTGCTTCGGCTCTTTTGCGCCCAGTTCATTTGCCGTATACCTCAAACGGGAGGTCAGCGCCATCGGTGGGTTTTTGCCTGTCTGATGAAAGATTGAGAATAGGTGAAAAAGGAGAAAAGATGGCTCTGCGGAAAAGAGATTCTAGACTGGAAGAAAGTGACAAAGAAGATTTGCGAGTAACACAGAGCACGGGGGCAAAACACTAAGGAACTGCGCGATAACGGAAAGGGAGGATGGTAGTCCTTCAAATTGGCAAAAAAATGCAAAAATTATGAAGTTAAAGGGTGACAAGCCCGTCGCTGAGCAGCTCTGGCGGATCGCGTATTAACTTGCTTCCAAAATGGAGAAGTCACTTGAATCGTAGACACTCTGGTAGTAGTAAAATTGAATACACTGTGTATAGATGCGTGTATCATCAGAATTCTGAGGGACATGTTAGAGGGGCGAATTGGGAGCCTGTCACCCTGCTGAGCGGGACGATCTCTGTAATAAATACACAAAGATGTTCGACTTTCTGCACACTTGCCTTCTGGACAATTTTCAAAAATTTTAAATTTTACAAAAAATATTTTAATAAAAAAATTTTTTTTTTTTTTTTTTTTTTTTTTTTTTTTTTTTTTTTTTTTTTTTTTTTCCTAGGTGTACGTCAAGCCGTTAGGAACTCAAAAAAAATTAAGAAGCAGGTCCAGCGCAGCGCTTGCCTCAAGTAGCCTCCCCACCGTGGCTAACGAAGTGCGCAGGTGTCCCAGCTGGAGGACGTGGCGGCCACCTTCGTACGCCTGAATCGTTCACTATCCCGTCAGCCGCCAGGACTTTCGATCAGATTCCCACTAAAGTATCAGAGCCCGCCTGCTATTCGATATCTTATTTGTGCCGTAATGTTGATTGATTATGCTCTCCTCGTTGTAGATTTCTTTCCCCTCTCCACGATTTACATTATCTCTTAACTCGCTGTCTGCTTCTCAGAGATTTTTGCAGCGTAGAGCAAAGGGGTTCGTGTTATGTGAGTTTTTGGCGATTTCTTTTTTCACTTTCGGTCCTACTTCGTGTTCGTACCCTCATTTTCGGGTGAAAATTACCACATGAGTTTTATCCTGAAGCTCCCTCTGACATTACCACACAAATTTTATCCCTGAACCTCCCTCTGACCTGGGGAGGGATGTAAAACCCAAAAGGAGCACCCCGTTCATTTTTTAAGCCACTACTCTACTTCTGCTGAGTAGTGTCGGCGTATACTGCTAGTAAGAGCTGCAAAACAAAAACTGAGAGGAAACGTCTAATGAAGTCAAGAGAATCGCGTAGAGTTCACAAGAGGAAGACGCAACAAGAAACAGGATAAACACAAAAATAGGAAGACTTATTTAATCAGCATATCCGGCCTGGAATCCGTGATGATGAAAAAATACCCGCAATTGACGACCACGACAATTTATTGGCAGCACTCAATCGGAGCAATCAAAGTTTCCGGTCCGAAATACTATCCTCATTCTTGTCGCCCTAATAGCTCATTTCCAGTGAACGCGCTCAGGGCCAGCGTTAGATGTCAATCAAACAAAAAGGTAGTGGAATAAAATGGATAGAAGAATAGGGAATAAAGTAGGAGTGAGTGAGGGAAGCGCTCTGCTTTGATCCATCCTAGTTTATTCCGAATCGCGAATTTAGATGATGAAACTTCATGCCTAACAATGATTTTGGTCCGTGTCGTGTTTTACGGTACCCGACAGGAGGCTCGCCGCGCGGCAAGAAGGCATAGATGCAGACGGGATGGACGAGTTGCAGCGCGTACTGCAGTTATTGCGCAAGTCAGATATCATAGGATGTACCACAACAGTACGCCCCAAATCACACAGCACACGCTGCGACTCGTCCGCTGACCCGTCTGCGTCTCTGCCTTTTGGCCACGCAGCGGGCCTCCTGTTGTGCACCCCGTGTTTCAACGGGTCAAAATCAAACGCAGTTTGTTAACAAAGACTTAGCGGTCTTACTCAAAACAACATTTTGCTTAAAACACCATTATTTCCAACCTCAAATGATAGCTGAAATAGAGCAATGCCTATGGACCCTCAAATTTTCGTACAGGTAGAATGGTTGGTACACTCTAATAAAGAATTATGCCCTGATAACAGTGATCTCGTCATGTTTGTTGGACCTAGGTTCACTCGTCACGTCACGTTAAATTGGACGACCTCATGTGAAGCGTTTCCAAACCCGACCTGTTTTAGGGTAATAGTGCCCTGATACCTCACTCATTTTGGCACACTTCAAAACACTGCTCTCAAAACTCAACTAGTCGAGCGGGGAATGGATGAGATGAAATTATGATTTTTCCGTGGACTATTTCTCTAAGAGACGTGTTCAATTTTTTCGACCGGTCTTTAGCTTAGAGTAAGGTTTGGGCTCATGTCCAAAACTAGGCTCATATCCCAATATAAGGATGCTGTTTCAGTGAGGATGCAGCTGCTCAATACCTGGAAATCACAGCACAACCGCCGTTGAAGTCGACGAAACACCGACACAGCGTACACACCTCAACCATGCAACAGCTGAACATCAATGCGCCCACATTCGAGAAGCCACATCGAACGAATGGCCAGTTTTCGAAGAATGTGAGTTTAGTAATCTATTGAGATTTGCAGGAAATTTCGTTCAAGATATAGTTCCTTTTGTGAAATTATTTGCGAGAGAGTCTTCCTGGAAAAGTGCACAGTGGTTCCCGCCATTGGACGTGTCGTCAATTCCAGTGCAAGTGGCTGTGGCAACCATATGTCATCAGTTAGAATGACGCATCGCTGCGAATCGCTGATCCGAAGCCGTTGCGCCAGCGGATCGGAACGTTGCACCGCGAAGATACCGCCTTTGCGCCCGCGAATCGAACCTATGTAAGAGCGACGGCCACAACGTTCAAAGAATCCTCTGCCCTATTTCACAACAGCGCCCCTGTCAGATATACTGTTTTGCAAATGGGCGGCTTCCTTTAAACGTTGGGTCCCGCCACTATTCGACTCGCTGGTACCATAGTTCGACTCGCTGGCGCAAAAGTTCGATTCGCTGGCGCAACGCTCGGATCCAGCGATTCGCTAGCGAATCGCTCGATTCGCAAACTATGACATCGGCCTAGTAGACTGCGATGGCACATTTCTGTAATAACTTGGCTAGGACAGTGTATCGACCCTGGCTTTCAATTTGACGGCGACGTGACTTACGTAATTCTATCAATTGGGTTTCACAAGAATGCTTGGCTGTGAACAAAACTTTCGCCCCAGGCGGGACTAGAACGCGAACCTCTCGCTTTCCGGGCAAGTGCACTACAAGTTAAACTACGGGGCACCATTTCATTCCACCTCAGCCTTTCCTGGTATTCTTAAAGGATACAAAGGAAAGAAGCACTTGCGCGCACTCATATCGCACTTACTTTACTCAATTCGCAGTGGCATTTGAATGCGATGTGGCCTATACAATGACTTGCGGGGGCCAGCCGATGTTCAAGTCAGTGTTTTTATCCTCCCAGACAAGTCTGGTACCAATTAACCGACCCCGGAGGGATGGAAGGCTTGGTTGGCCCGGGCGACTCACGACCCAGGATTTGATCCCGGACCGCTCGCGTGGTAAGCGTGCCACTTGCCACTACACCACTTCCGCCCACCCATGGAAAACCCTTAGCATTATTCAACTCACACGTGTAACGTTTTGAGCAACAAACAAAACAAGCAAGCAATTAAGACGTCTAGAAGGGTATAACTAGTAGGCAATAAAAAGGTTGACTTCAAGAGGTCATGGTCTGCTGTCATTTTTTGGAGCCCTTCATGGAGAAATCGCGGTCGGATGAAGCTAGGTTGAGCCCACCGCGGTTTTTCGGAAGAGAAGTAGAGGAGTGACAATAACCGGTAGGCTCTGAGAGGACCAGGTTTTTAGAGTCTGAAAATTGGACATTTTGCGACCCATCCGACAATCGCGTATATTTTGGAAAACAACACCGAACAAGTCACTACCACCGATCTCCTAGAAGGCAAGGCTAATCCAGCGAGCCCCTTCTCCGTCTAGTATCTCAGCAAAGCGTCAACTTAACCAACGACCTCAGCTGTTCTCAAAGCCAGCAGACGCAGCAGAGCTGGCGGACCGCTTTTAATAATCTCCGACTAGTACTCTTTCTGAACACGTACATCCTCAAATCGAGGCGTACGCCTTCAACTCGCTTGTTCTGCCCGCAGTGACGTACGGGGCGGCCGCCGGCGCACAGCACACACCCACGGCATCACCGGGGGGGAGACAGGCCCAGCAGTCTTTGAAAGGGGGTGCAACTCCCAGTTACACCAACGAGCCAGCGAAGAGTGTCCAATGTGCTTGGCACCGCTCTGACGACCGCATACCCAATGATAGTCGACCCCCCCTTTGCGCTTTGCGATCTAAAGAAGAGAGGCGTCGTAAAAGCCACCTACAGATCTGCGGAGACTGGTCAGGCATATGGCTTGTCCAGCTGATGAATCGCTGAGCCACAAGAGCAGTCCCTTGAGTGTACCAAAGCGGACGAACAAGGCCTGGCGCAGACCCCTGACCAGATGGGCAGACCCTCTCGTGAATATGTACGGCCAGTTGTGGCGCAGAAGAGCCCGAAGCAGAGCGACCTGGAAGATGTGCGACCTGCGTTTCTGGCGTGCCCGGGACGAATAGCGGTCGAGAAGTTGAAGTTGAAGTAAAGACGAATGCTTTCCCTGAAGCACGATCGAGGAAAAATTTCGAGGGATGTTTCCAGGCTTCAGAATATCTTCCTTCAAGGCCTAGCTCTCAAGAAATGAGTAGATAACCTACCGCCGAAAATTTCACAGGATTCGTGTTTTCTGCCTCAAACGCAAGTGATGAGCCCGATGAGCAGCGCACTCTGTCCAACCCGTCAAAATAATTCATGTCCAAAAATTGTGCTTGTCAAAAAATGCCTGCTGGACAGCCTAACAGTCCAACAATTTGATATTATTATATGCTAGCTAATGATGAAGCCGATTGGCAGCTGCATTCTGGCCTAGTCTCAATTCAACAGACAGAACTGTCCATGAAGCCTGTTAGCCACTATGAGAAGCGCATCGCAATATTAACCGGCCAATCTCTGCGCTGGAATGCACCGACCGGCGCAAAACTGTTTTTTTTTTGTTAATAAAATGGAACTAAGCCTTAGGCAAGGCAGGAGTCTCCATGGTGCGTGACCCATTTCCATTTTCCCGAAGTTTCTGTCCCTCTTAGACTTACGGTTAGTCCCAAAATGCCACCACATATTGCGATAGCGCCACCATGAGCTATCAACTTCAGGGTTTTTGTTGAAAGCGGTCGCCTCTGTGTTGGGAACTTTGCAGTGCAGGAGCAACCACCCGCCGGGTATAAGCTACAGCACCCGGTTGACGCACAATTTTCTGTAAGCGTTGGGGGTAACCAATCCTCCTACGCTTAAAACAAACTTAGCAGGCTGTGTAATGTCCTACCCTGACTCATCATCCGGGAATTCGCCTTGGGAGCTTCGCAATTGGAACCAGGGGGCCGTAATGGCAGCCAGACCTATCTCACCATGGCTGGAAATTACGGACACGGAGACATATAAAAATAGGAAATTATTGCTCTGAAGCTGTTCCACTCCAAGCTGAGCTTCTCCAAAAGTCGGATTCCGTCCATTCGACTCAATATACGAGCAATATTGCAGGATCAGGCGCCGTCAAATGGACCACAGCGTTCAACGTCGTCCGATTATTGCAGAGAAGAACGCAGAGATACGATTTCAAGCAGTAACAAATTCCTGAAATGGCTTGGAATTGGTGCCACTGGCGCGGACAAAAAAGATATGAAAAATCGTAGAATGAGCACTTTCACATAAAATTCAATAATTGGCTTCTAATTCTAAAAATTGCTCTTGTGATGTCTCTCCATTTATAATATTTTGTTCTGTGAAGTATGACCTATTTTATTTTCCGCTTAATTTATAACACCACGGCATGTATTAATGAGAATGTCAACGGCAAGTGAATTGACAGCTTTGGCTTCTGTTCCTCCTTCACCAAATTATTATTGTATCTTTAGAAATCACTAGAAACCCCGTGTATTTTCCTCGGTGAACGCAATCTGTGCATTCGCCTTCTGAGGAATTCATAGCTCATTTCAGTCACTGAGGCGAAATGCAACCATGTGGAATGGCTAGGGCTGTTCATGCATTTCTTCCATGTCGTTGCATCGTTCAATCTTCTCACTGAAGCAGCGATCGAAAAAAACTCGATGGATGTCTCCCGCTTCGAAAATCAATCATTTCAAGCCCTTGGTTCAAAAAATGCTGTGTAGGGCCTAGGATATGGTTACGAATACAAGGGGTGGTACAGGGTTAAGTCAAGAGACCACTTTGTGGTTTGAGGGCGTTTCCAATGTCCACCACATCCACACTTGGCGAACCTGCAGCGAGCCGTCCACCTGAAGCATGTGTATCGATTTAATCGCCCCGTCACTGAGAAGGTTTGCGCGTCAACTCACAGTTTTTCAAGCCAATGGTCGCAAAAGGGACATTCTCCCATTGTGATTTTGTTTCTGGATTTTGTATCGTATACCCACGAAAGATTTTCGTGCCGGGACCAGCATCGATAGCCATCGATCCAAGTTTCTTTCTAGCTTCTTCATTCTCCTAATAGACCGTACTGTATTTTGCGCAGGGTGCAACTTGTCGAAATCTCTTGTCGTTTTGTTGTCTTTGCCTAATTTCTTCGTTCGTTCATCCCGTTCCCTCATTTTCAAGTCATCCTTGAGATTTCGTGATTTCATTGAAATTTGCTGAATACGAGAATTTTAGTGATGGTCACACACCCAGCTCTTTTCTGATCATTCAAGCGATCAGTCGGCTTCATGTCTTTGCCATAATCTTCAACGGGATTTCCGTTTGTATAGAACTGAAATAGTATAAAATTGCGTTGAAAATCAATCGATCGATGTTATTTTCCTTGACCGAGCTCTTAACGAGATTGATAAATAATCCTTATAGTTTTTGTTCAGTAAGACCCTCTTCTCGAAACACATGCTGCAATTGCTTTGCAGTAGATTTTGCGCCCTTACACGAAAATGGAGACCTGGAACGGACCGCATATGGAATGGAAAACTTGAAGAAAGCGCTTAAAACCCTGAAAAGGACACTACTGGCCGAAGGACAGTACGCGAAGAAGAAGTCCTCGAGGCAAGCCCCGGAACAAAACCGGTGGATAAGAGCGCTTCGTAGTGATGAGTGAGCTGCGAAATGAACTGGAAATGGAAAGTAAAACAGAGAACCCATCAGATGAAATAACTGAAATGAGCATTAATCTTTAATACAGTCAGACGCGGTACGGCGCGAGACAAGGGCGGTCCAGAGAAGACAAAAGCGCGGAGAGCTCACCGCTATCGAAATGCGTTGATCTCTACTCAATCGTGTGGGTAAGGAACGTGCCAGCGGAGGTCATTGGTTGCACCATAAGGATAGCGCTTGTCTACGCAATTTGTGCGACGACGATTCCCGGCATAATCATATTTGCTGCCGGACACTTTCCCTCGCGGTAGTCTTATTCTTTCTTAGTCGGATTAATCCCGGAGATTGCCTTTCAAGCGCTGAGGACGCAGAGACGGGCCAAGCCAACGCGAGACACAGCTGTTACCACAATTCGCCTGTGATCCTTGTAGAGACACACTATCAATCAAGCTGGTATGTTTATTTACTTGGAAAAGACGCTTATACGGCGCAAGTAGATGATAGTCAAGAAAGAAGGTAAGGAAATTATTGAAAACCTTGAAAATAGAGGCCTCCTTTCTCTAGGCCTTCCTAAGAAGTTCCGAGAAAGAGATGCTCAGTGTCGAGGAGAGGGAAATGTACGGGAAGCAAGAGAGCTTATATACAGACAGACGAGAACGGGATTGAGCCTGTGGCATTAATTCCTTTGAAGTCGTTTGCTGTGCATCCTTGAGCTTTGGTTCCTCTGCCTGGAAATTTCGTGAGACTTTCATTTGGTCAATGGGAACAAATTGTAGCCGCTCAATCGAGCATTTTTTTCAGATCTAATACACTTGAAGATGAGGTAAGCACACATGTGGTCAGATAGCCTATCTACAAGAACCAGATAGTTTACTGAGATTCAAGCGAAAAACCATGGAGCGTTCTCTAAAATTACGAATACTTGACAGGGCAAAAATAGTGTATTTTCTCACTTATGACGTTAACACAATGGGAATGTATAAAAGTAGCTCTTCAAGAAAAAAAAAACCATCTTACGAGAACTACCACATCTTAAGACACTAGTTCGGAACCACCTCTTTAGAAATCTCAATTTTTCCATATACCACAAAACAGTACTGTGTACCACTTTTTCCCGATAACCACACTCTATTAGGTAAATTCTGAACAGTATCAAGTTTTTCCCAAATATTCCTCATTATTTTCAAGCTTTCCCGGTCGAGACGGATGAATAAAATGTGTAGGTTTTTGGGGATGCTACCCTGTTCTTGAAAAAACGTACCATGAAGGAGCTGCATGTAGCAAATTCCAAGATCACATAAGGATTACTGCCACTTTTTATGAAAACTGAAAAAATGAAAATTGAAAAAAGAAAATGAAAGAGAAAACCTTAAAATGACAACTGAAAAAGTACAAACTTTGTTGAGGGTTTGAAAACAACCTTTTACTCAGAATGGGGAGTAATGAAGAAATTTTGAATACGATCATGATCATTCATGGACTTCGGCTTCTGGCGGAAGAAGGGGGTAGTGTTTCCAAATTTTCCTCGACGCTTCGCTTTACCCTGCTTCGTAGCCACACCGTAGAAGCACCATTGGCTGGATCGCTTGATGTAAGATCAGCGAGGCTAAAAAATTGTCAAATTCACCGCATGCTTGATCACTACTGAAGCGTTCGCGAGTAAACCACTGGACACCTCTCCTTCGCCTCCTTACCATTAGCTTCAGCAATAGGTCGAAGTAGTTTCCGGAGGACAGCGTCTCGAGTTGAATCCTGCCCGTTCCACCCAAACTCTCCATTCCTTCGAAGTCAGTCGATGATGCTAGATTTCCCACATCGGGCAAGCAAAAAAGATTCATGGTAACAAGCTTGCTACGAAATAAAG